ATTTCCTCCCAGCTGTCCTTAAACCCACGCCGATGTTTCCACTCTCAACGCCGCCTCGTGGAGACCACCGTGACCGTCCAGTGGCGAAAGAAATGGCCGCTCACCTCTCCTGTCACATTGGTAGTGTCATAGCTGACCAGACATTCTTCCTGAGACACATTCCTTGTGTGGCTTCCCGGCACCACACACAGCTTCTTCCCCCTTCCTGCTATTAGAGCGCTTTCGCAACTCCAAGAGCCCACACCCCACCCACCCCGCCTTAGTGGGGACCACCAACCCAGCGGGGGCAGCCTGAAACAAGCTGAGCATCTGAACACTGACCAAGAGGGACGAAAACGATCCATGTATCAAAAACCATGAGTTCCGTCTGGCCGGTGTGGCTCGGTGGTTGAGCGTTGACCCACGCACCAAGAGGTCACTGGTTCGATTCTCGGTCAGGGCACATGCCCAGGTTGAGCCTGACCCCCAGTGGAGGGCATGCAGGAGGCGGCCAGTCGATGTTCTCTCTCATCGGTGTTTCTCTCTCTCTCTCTCTCTCCCTTTCTCTCTCTCTAAAATCAATAAAGGAAAAAAAAAACTGGGGAAAAAAAAAAGCCATGAGTTCCTATCATAATGATACTTAAAAAAATCTGGTCATCTTTGGAGTTTGCTAGGGCACCAACTCATAGTAGGCTAATTGATTTTTTAAAAAGGGAGACTCAAGCATTGATCCTGTCTTTCCTGTTCATATTCACTTCAGGGCAAAGTCAATGAAGGAACGTTCTTTGTAGAACAATCACAGAGAATAAATGCAAGACCACCACAGAAATGGACAATTAATCCTTATGATATAGTAGGTATAGCAATGATCAACAGCTCCTGAAATAATTAGGTGAAAGGTTGACAGAGAACTTTGTATTGGATGGACCAGGCTGACAAAAGTTAAACCCACTGATCAATCTTAACAATACTAAAAGACAGTCAGACACGATGTGCCCTCTCATCCATGAACAGGAAGCACACGACACCACTTATAATGTAGTCTTGCAAAAAAAAACCAAAAAAATTTTGAATCTGAATCTCAATAAGGTCTAGGTCTAATGACCAATTTACATGATATGGAGGACACAGGATCATGTCAAATGACACCATGAGGATACAGTAACCTGGGTTCAAAATGTGGGAAAGTCTGTAAGGACAAGTGACTCAGCTTCTGCAATACATGATGGGGACAAAAAGCGTGTGTGTGTGTGTGTGTGTGTGTGTGTGCGAGTGCACGCGCAGTGGAGTGAAGGTGTCCTTGAGTAACAGAACCTAAGAGACATATCAACCAAAGGCAAGGTGTGGCCGTTAAGGCAATGGGGAAACAACACAGAAAGGTCTGAGTCGGTATGAAGGAGTCACTGTTACCTGTGTGGAGTACGAGGTTGGCCCTGGGGTCATGTGGAGGTGACATATCTGTTGGAGACACACAGTGAAGAACAAGTGACATGATACAATGTCTAGAATTGGCTCCAAAATACACCAGGCAACAACAAACACCAAGAAGCTGAAGGAAGACAAAATTAAACACCAGAATGTTGCTAATTACTGACATTGGGTAATGGATCCCGGGAGCTTATTTTGCTGCCTTCTCTACTTTGGTGCATCTTTGAAAACTTTCATAAGATTTCCTTTTTAAAGAAGGAGCCACCGACTCAAACCAGGATCCCAGGAAACACCCTTATCTCAGAGCCTGATGTTCCTTCAGACGCCGTTGGTGAGGAAGTGCTCTCGCCCCCAGAGGGCCCCTACGATGGTGGACTATTCAGGAAAGACCTGGTATTTGATCCATTTTCTGGTGGGCGCTGGTACTCATACTAACTCTTAAAATTTTAGAAAGATATACATCAGCTTAACCTATCTCTTGAGTAGACTGTAAAAGGGTCTCAGGTCACAGGAGGAAACATTATTATTTTTTTTGGTATGTGCCCCTAGCGGGAACCGAACCCGGGACTCTGGTCCGCAGGCCAACGCTCCAACTGCTGAGCCAAACTGGCCAGGGCAAGAAGAAACATCTTTTCACGAACTCATAGACTCCGAAGGGCCCTTACAAATTCCTTTCACCGCTCATCAGCCCTGGGCAGGCCCCTTCACCCTGTAAGAAATATCTATGAAGACCCTAATATGTGCCAAGCACAGCGCTGAACAAGGTGGGGTCCTACCCACAGGAAGGTTGCAGGTTAGTGAACGAAACCTAAGCCATCCAGCCTCTCGCAATCCTTTCCGAACAGGACAAGGAACAGCACATTCACCACCTACGCGGGCAGCGCTCTGCCAAGCACTTTAGACATCTGGTCACATTTCATCCTCATAACAGCCCTATGGGGCAGGTGGTATCATCTTTATTTTACGTGCAGGTACAAGTGTGTCCACACTGTGTGTAAATAGAACTCTGAGTTATATATAACAATTCAGTACAGTGACTTGCTCAAGGTCATCTCCCTGGGAAGTGGCATAGGTGAGATTTGAACCCGGCTCAAGGGCTCTCCGTCTGCATTCTCAGACACACGCTGCCATTTCCAAGGCGCCCTGCTGGAGGTAGCTCGGTGTGAGTCCCAAGGAGATGCTGACGGGCCCGGTTAGCACGGGCAACAGGACATTCTCGGCCAGCAGACCAGAACTACTGTTCGGCACTCAGGACCAGAAACCACGGGGCTGGACGGAACTACAGTCCACGCAGGTTGAGAAGGTCACAACCTGGCCCATCTCAGCAGTTTACAGATGGTGACGGTGAGTCACCGGCATGGTGGTGGGCAGAGCTGGGATCTCCGGGACAGGTGGCCCTCGCTCTGTGCCACCAGCAGGCGCACAGGCTGCAGTGCTGGGTGGACGGAGCAGCGGGCGGCACTCCCACGCCACACGGAAGGTGCTCGCCCTCACCTCCACTCCCAGCGCATGAAGGCCCGAGGGGCCACCTCCTCCACACCTCGTCCCCTCCCGCCAGCTGCCTTTGCCAGTGGGCAGAACTGCCCTGCAGCTCCCGCATCCCTGACCCTCCCTGTGCTGTGGTCCTGCGCTCCCGTCCTCAGCCGACAGCCCAGCCCTCGGCCTGGACTCTCTGTGGGCAGCTGATGAGTTGGGGCTCCTTACAGCAGCCGGAGCCTGTCCTGTCCCCTCCCCCTGAACCGGTGATGATCACTGCCCTGAATGGACGCCGACATTCCCATCTGGTCAGCGGCCCTTCCTCCCACTGAATTCCTCTCTGGAATTGAACCTAGAGGGTATCATGCTGAGTGAAATAAGTCAGACAGAAAGACAAGAAAACGTGTGTTTTACTTATATGTGGAATCTAAAAAACAAAATAAATAGACAAACAAAACAGAAACAGACTCGAAACGCAGAGAAGAAATTGATGGTTGCCAGATGGGGGGGCTGGATGAAAAGGTGAGGGGATTAAGAAGTACAAATTGGCAGTTACAAAACCGTCACGGGACGTCAAGTACAGCACGGGGAATGCTGTCAGTAATACTGTAATAACTGGGTGTGGTGCCAGGTGGGTACTACACTTACTGGAGGGATTACTTCGTAAATTACATAAACGTCTAACACTATGCTGTACGCCCGAAACGAACATAAAATAATATTGAACGTCAACTGCAACTGCAGAAAGAAAAGGAAATCGTTGACAAATGATCTCTGCTTAAAACTTGACAAAATTCAAAACGGTGGAGGCTGGACGGTGACACCAGCCGTCGTCAGGTCCATGGCCAATGCTGAGGTTCAGCCCTCGGTGCTGGGAGGCCTGCAGTCAGAGGCGACAGGGCCACCTGTCTTCTCGTCGGCTGGAGGACGGAATCCATGGCCTGGAGCTCCTGGGTCTCCAGCACTGACCTGTCCCCTCAGACGCCTGTCCTCAGTGTTCGCCAAGCAGACAGGCTTCGGCCAAGACTGCTCGTCAGGGAGGACGGCCTGGCTTCAGCCCATTGATTTCTTCTGGATTTAAAAAAATCTAAACAAGGATAAGAACTGGAGTCTGGCCCTGACCGGTTTGGCTCAGCGGTTAGAGCGTCGGCCTGCAGTCCAGAGAGACCCAGGTTCGGTTCCCGCTAGGGGCACGTACTTCGGTTGCAGTTTGTCCCCGGCCCTGGTTGGGTTGTACAGGTGGCAGACACTCGATGTGTCCCTTTCACGTCGATGTTTCTCGTTCTCTCTCTTCCTCTCTCCCTCCCACTCTATCTGAACAAATAATGGAAAAATGTCCTCGGGTGAAAATAAAAAAAAAAGAACTAGAGTCTGGCTCTGGCCAGTTTGGCTCAGCGGTTGGAGTGTCGGCCTGCGGACCAGAGAGTCCCGGGTTCGGTTCCCGCTAGGGGCATGTGCCAGAAAGAAAAAAGAACTAGAGTCTGCTTTCTCGCAGTGTCCCCAGAGCAGCCCGGGGACGAGGCTGCACCTCTCTCTCTCGCTGCCCTGGGGACTGCCTGCCCACCCCGGGCTTAGCAAGGCGCTGGACATCACTTGCTTCAACAAGTAGATGCTGAGGGGCTGCTGCTGCCAGAACGACGCTGGCAAAGGAGCGGAATAAAAGGCTGGGGAGCAGGAATTGGGAACGGCTCCATACCCCCTATCAGTCCTAAGCACATTTCTACAGCCAGCCAGCCAGCCACTGAAGGCAGATTCAACGTGAAACACAGCGGTCCCCAACGCCTTTGTCCCCAACTAGAAGCCACTTCCCACATGTAGCGTAAGGCAGGCAGGCAGCCAGGACCCGACACAGACAGGGTTTCATTTGAGAAGAAACTAACAATCAGTCAGGATACATACTTCGGATATTCATTAACATTAAGCAAATACGCTGGATATTCAATTCCCCAAAGCAGTCTCCTAACAATTTGTTTCCAAACCCGACCTCGACGGTCTGAAGAAGCAAGGCCGCAGCCACGATAAGGTCAACTAGACATCAAGTATAAAGAATTTCAGAGTGACGTGATTACGAACGTGTTTGAATGATAAGTTTATTGAATATAAGATATACAGGCTGCTGTCAAATAATTTAAAGATAGCCTACATTTCACACACAAAACCACATTTTCATATGCTTAAATATGTCTTTTTGTTCCCTCAGGGGAAAGAAAATCTGTATTGATCAATTCAAGGTACATCATGAGGTCATCAAACAGTTACTAATAAAAGAAAGTCAGGAGAATAAAATATAGTTCAATCAATAAAGTCTTTGTAAAAAGTTTATCATCTAAGTCTTGTCAGCTGGTTCTTCTTTCGCTCTCCAGCAGGTCACTCAGCTCACAGCCTTAGAAAAAGAAGGCTGGGCAGAGCAGCTCATCGTGCCACAGATCACGTAATGCGGCATCTCTGCCTGGCCGGGAACAGCTCACAGCCTCTCCGCTCTGCCTGTGCCTGCTCCCTACCACCACTTCTCAAAGCAAATGTGTTCTCTGGGAACATGGCTGTTTTCTAGTAGCTTGGAGAAGAAGTCTGTCATCGGAGGTGGGCCACAAATATAGAACAAAGTCTCTCTTGAAATGTGATCTCTTATCTCCTTCTCCGTTATTCTTCCTTCTACCAAGAAACAGAATAGATGCCAAATTAGGCCAGGCATGTTGGAATTGAGACGAGGAAGGACTAAGCACAACCCAGCAAGTGTTTACCTGCAGTAACCTCAGCTCTTGAGTCTAGTCTTGGGTCATTCACACAGCGGCTCCTGCTGGCACCGGGGGCCAGAGCCCAGCACGGCGCACCTCAGGGGCCCCTAAACTTAGGGCAAGTGAAGGGGGAAGTGATGGGAAGGGGACCGGAATGCCCTCTCACACAGAGGCAGTGAACTTACTGCTCTTTGGGAAAGATTCAAAACTGCCTCCAGCAAAGTAAAGAAACTGTTTTGTGAAAAATCCTTCCAGGCAGGGGAAACCGCAAGCAATTTAAATTACCATTAATGGCAAATGGCATCGAGTCAGCCAGGCTGGAATATAAATTCTTTGCATGCATACTACAGTGGTGATGCAAAGGCCCCCTAAAAAAATGTGGGAAATAAACTTTTAATATGGGCAGTAGAAAAACTGTATATAATAAATATATCCAACTTAATCTCTCCTTATTTGTCCATGATAAATCACCTCTCAATTCCCCAGGTAGTGACGTTCCCAGCCAGCAACTCCGAACAATAAAGCATCTACACTCAACCGACTGGCATGTCCACCAAATAACTATGTGGAGATAGTCAAAATATTTTTAGGGGACTCACCCGTGATATATGGCTTGAGTTCTGCACTGATTTGTGTAGTCTGCTTTGTAACATGAAAACTGCATGCAATCTTCTTAGGAAATTCATTGACTAAATCGAGGATATTTTTCTGGAACGTCAAACATATTTGGTCACACTACAATTTTAAAAAATCAAAACAGATGTGCACGACCACTGATGCCGAACCCGCCGCCCACCCTGCACGCGTCTGCGCGTTGCTCTCCGCTCACGGAGACTGTCTGCAGCCTGGCGGGCCAGAGCATTCAGAGCACAGAGCGCTGTTTGGCTTTAATTGAAGTCTGAATATGCTAACAAGCATATTACTAACTCTCCAGGAGTTTTTTCTTTTTCCTTTTTCTCAAGCCTTGGCAATTAAGCAGCAGTGGCACTGACCAGTTCTGTCTTTTTAACTGTTTCTGTTCTTTTGTTCATTCTTGCAGCTGCAAAGCAATCCAGTGAAAGCCCTCGCCATCAAATGTACTTAGTTTCAACAGATGCAACTGAATGGGGGTTTCATTTACCCAGCCTGGTCCCCACCACATACGCCTCACCTACTCCTGTGACACACGAGCCCACTTGTGCGTCTCAGGGCCTTGGAGACTTTTCTGTCCATCCACCTCCAAGTTCAAGCCACCAGACCTACCCTATCCGGGAGCCTCCTCAACACTAGCTGTTTTAATTGCCCTGATAAGATGTGCTGGCTAATTCTTATTTGAACATTAGATTAAGACTTGTCAGGCCCTTTGTTTGAACGACTGCAGAGAAAACAGGACTGAGAGAGGCAAGTTCCGTGGACAATTAATACCACGGCACGCTTGCTCACAGCAAGCTACGAAACATGCTTCTCCCTTACCTTGAACAGGAGCTCGCTGGTGTTCTTTGCGCTGTAGAGCAGTGTTATCGTCCCTGTCTCCCATCCTCTCCCCGTGTCTGCCCGCTCCCTGAGGAGGTCCGCCGAGTGCCTCAGGATGGAAAGCAGGGGGTTAATGCCGACTCCCCCCGCGATCAGCACGAGGTTCCCCGCAGCGGCTGCAGGCTGAGGGTCGAAGAAGAACTCTCCACCCACTCTCACCGCCACTTCAGAGTCAAGTGCACACTAAGGCAGGAAAGAAAAGATCCTTGAGTCCTTGGTAAGGCAGGACTTAAACCAAATGTTCCTCTTTAGTAAAACTGGCCGTGTCTACCTTGGGCATTTTTATCCGTATTTAGGACTGTTTTTTACAGTCTGTTCTCGTTTCCCAGGCCCCTGTGAATTGACTCCACTTGTCCATGAGACAGGCCACTTGCTCCCCTGCCTCTGTGGCCTACACTGCACAGCCGCTCGGGTTCGGAGGAAAGGAGACTCGCCCAAACAACCCTGCCATTGGTTAACCGAGTAGGTGAGGACCTGGGCTGTGAAGAGAGGCACAGCGGACAGCTCTCTGGTGTGAGTTTCCTCTTCTGAGTGGCGCTCCTGTTCTGATCAGAGCCGTGGAGCTGAGAAGCAGGACAGGGAGTGTCCCTGAATGGCCGCCCTGGACCATCAGCGCGAGTGCGGATGCCAGGGGCTCCCTCCCAGCAGGGCAGTCAGACTGCTCCCCAGACTGAGGCCAGTGGCCAGCGCTGTTCCTACTCCCTGGAGCAGCAAGAACAGGAAGCCTGAGGCTTCACACCAGGGGGTGAGCATTACATACACCCACCCACGTAAAGCACCTATTGTTCCGTGAAGTCACTTACACCAGAAATACGATTACAGCCGAATGCCCTGGTTCTCCACAGGGATGAGAATACCCGAGGGGGTTGTTTTGGAAACTTGCAGCGACACCTTTTTATTGTCACAATGATCTGGAGAAGCCAGCGGGCACTTAGAGGGCAGGGCCTGACGACCTGGGCAGCTACCAGTGGTCCGCAGCTGGGCAGCCGCGCTGCGGTTCCGTGTGCAGGAACTCTGAGAGCCAGCTTCTACTGCTGGTTTGAAATGAGCCACTGTGGCCGTGTCTACAGCAGAAACCAGCAAATGCTACAAATCAGAGCTTTTTTTTAAAACTCAGGGAGCCGGGCTAGTAGTACAGCATTATGGGCGATGCACAGGACTGTCCGGCAGGCTTCTGAACGACCCATGAGACATACACGTATAGGTGGAAACTGGTTTGTAATGATCTGAAGTTATGTTCTAACTCATTTTACCAAAAACTCCAAGATTTTTGTGGGGTTTTTTTCCATGGATCTAACATAGTCTGAATTTCTGAGACTGTACCCACCATGTGGCCTGTACTCTGCTGTGCTCAGAACTTTACCACGCATGCTCACTGTTCAGGAAAACGACGTCCCAGGTGGTAACACGAGCGTGTGGGGCTTCTGTCAACATCCACCAACCTGTGCCACCTGCATTTTCAGACTGAGGGACGGACCTCTGACTACTTCATTCTATCTTCCAGCTAGATAAGCGCAACCATTTCTGTACGAAGTAGTCTTTGGTTATGAATCATTTTCCTTTATTTCTCCTTTGTATTACGCTTGGAGAATTATGTTATTAAAAAAAATTTCATATGATTACATTAACTTGGGATTCATTTCAGGATAGTTGCAGAAAGGGGCCATTGGCTGACAGGGGTGCGGACATCTAGTTTGAAGGAAAATGCAGTAATCCAGGGGGCAGACGACTGAATTTTAATCACAGTCCCTACGAAACCCAGCGAGTCCCTTTGCACCTGTCCTGCTCCCCACAGGCCGTGGTGGGCACACACGACACGCTGCGGGGGTCTCCCTGCTGGAATTAGGCTCCACAGAAGAGGGTATTGGGGTCACTGTGGCTGTCTGAGAAAAAGTGCTGGGGTGCCTGCTCCCTTCTTTCCTGTCAATAAAAACAGAATCTAGAAACAAAGAAATGTGCATTAAGAAAACAGGTTTGTTCCATGTTCCTGACATAAACCAACTAAAGGACTCTCTGCTCAGAAGCAATCGTGTACCACGGGCTTCTCTAGAGGACCAGACCCCGGCTCTCAGCCTCGGCCACGCTGCCGACACGAATTTAATTTGGGGTCTACAACTTACAGGACAATTCACCTTAGAGGAAAAAGAAAAAAAAAGAAAAAATTATTTGAATTCACAAAACAGGTCCTTTTCGGTAAAGAACTGTTAAATGAATGGAAAGCCTTCTCTGACAGGAAAGAAGAACATCTGAACTAGTTTAAATATGGATAAGTGACTTTCATTTTTGACAAAAGAAATTAGCAGCAAGGGAGCATTCTGTTGGGCGTAACTGAAATGTAGGGATCACTGGACTGGCTACCAAACTGCTTTAAAATATTCCTTCAAGTCCCGAAAGTAGAATTGATGATACAAGAGTCCCTGCCTAACGATGACAGTGAATTTCATCTCTGTACCTGGCCTCCCCTCTCTGTGCCTGTCCATTGATCTCCACTTCTGAGAGTCTAAGAGGGAAAGAGACTAAGAGATGAGAAAAATAATTTTCTCCAATGGCCATCTTCAGCGTGCTTAGCAATGACAACAAACAAAGTCTTCAGGTTATTGTTTTTAGAAACCACGGTATTTTCTATCCTAAAGTTGGCAAGAAAACATGCTCCAGGGAAAGATAATACTCAAGAAGCCTGTTGTCTCCTTAGTGACAAAATAATCTTCAGGAGATCTATCTTCGAATTTGCTAGCATCTGGAAAGAATCAAAAGCCATCTTTGTCTTTTGTTGATCAATAAAAACTGCCAGGGGAGCAGGAACACGAGACCCGCAGCCTGTATAGCGGAGTGTGGAAGTGAGTGAAAGGGTATTACCTCCAATTACATAGCAATGTATCTAATCTGGGTATAGATTTTCTACTTGTGAAATAGACACTTTTCCACAGCAACTGGAGCAGATGCACAATAGCTGTCTAGAACCCTTTACCCTGCCAGGAGTTTGAGCCAAGGCAGATACAATAAAGGAAGACATTTATGGCACTTTATGCCGCGTCCCAGCAGAGCAGCCTGCTGCCACCCAGACACTCACGTGCCTCCATTGTCCACTCTAATAGCTTAATAAGACAAATGCTCAGAAGGAACGGCCACCTGAGAACGGTTCCAAGAAAAATCTGACTTCATAAAGGCCGTCTGCAACTCCCACTGGGCAGAGTGGAGCAAGCACCACAATTAGGATGTGCATTCAAGCAATGCCACTTGGAGATTTTCTACAGCCTCCGAGAACAAGTTCCTTCACTGAAATGCCAATGAGGCATGAAACCAAGCAGGGAGCTATGGACCAGGACCAGGTCAGGTCACGTGGGAGGCCGACAACCGAGGGGCTCTTGGCACCAGGAGCCGGGACAGCTAAGCTCCTTTTAAACAGGGACCTTGGGGCACGTGAACACCTTAGCTGCTCCCATCCCTGCAGCATATTTTAGAGACTTTGGATGTAGCCTAGAGATAGTAATGGGTGAAAATGCAAAGATAATCTAAAAACGAATGTCGCAGCTGAGGTCACACCGAAAAAAGGACTCAGGTCAGAGGATAAAAATGTGGCAGGATACGCTTACAGTGGAAATGCCAAGGCAAGCCACTAGGGGTTACTCTGAACAGACACAACTTGACATGTAAGCCATAAGGAGTACATACATTTTTATGCCGCTCCAGATTTAAAATCCTTTATTTTTCACATTATCTTTTTTTATTACAGTGCAACTTCTTTTGGTACAGTTCTATGAATTTTAACACATACACAGATCTGTGTAACCACCACCAGAATCAAGATATAGAACAGTTCCCTCGACCCCAAAAAACTCCCTTGTGCTATCCCTTTATGCTCACACCCTTCCCTGCCCCTCCCCCGTCAACCACGGATCTGTTTTTGTTGTTGTACTTTCCAGAATGTGACATGAATGGGATTATACAGTACATAACCTTTGAGCCTGGCCTCTTTTGCTCACCATGATGCCTCTGAGATTCAGCCAGGTTGTGTGCCATCAATAAACAGTTCATCTGTTTTTACTGCTGAATAACAACACAGTGTATGAAAGTATCAGTTTGTTTATCCATTCACCTACTGAGGGACATTTGGGGTGTTTCCAGTTTTTTATAATTAAGAACAGAACTGCTATAAACGTTCATATGTAGGCTTTTTTCTTTTTTTAATCCTCACCCAAGGATATTTTTCTATTTTTCTTCAGGTAGAGTGGGAGGAGGGAAAGAGAGGGAGAGAGGGAGAGAGAAACATCGATGTGAGAGAGACACAGGTTGCCTCCTGCATGACCCCGGCCAGAGCCAGGGACGAACTGCAACTGAGGTCCGTGCCCTTGACCTGAATCGAACCCGCAACTCATTGGTCCGCGGGCCGAAGATCCAACCACTAAGCCAAACTGGCCAGGGCCATCCATAGGCTTTTATATGAGCACAGCTTTCATATTTCTAGTAAAATACCCAGGAGTGGTATTGTTGGGTCCTATGGTAAGTGTATATTTAATTTCATATGAAACTGCCAAAATGTTTCCAGAATGGCTATAGTACCTTGCATTCCTGTTAGCAATGTAACAGTTACAAATGCTCCACAATCTTGTCAGCACTTGGCATTATCAGTATTTTCAATTTAGGTCACTCTAATTGGTCTGGAGAGATATCCCACTATATATGGTTTTACTCTGCATTTCCCTAATAATTTATGTTAAAAGACGTTAAACATTTTTCCATTGTTTATTTGTCATCTTTATATCCTTTTTAGTAAAGTGTCTCTTCAATCCTTTCACCATTTTTAAATGGTTTGTTGTTTTGGCTGATTTTTTAGTTCTTTACATATTCTGGATACAAGTCCTTTGCTGCATATCTAAACTGCACATACTTTCTCCTGGTCTGTAGCTTGTATTTTTTAAATTGTTAATAGTGTCTTTTGCATTAAAAAGTTTTAAACTTTGATTAAGTCTATCTATTAAACGTTTATGGATCTTGCTTTTGGTGTCATGTCTAAGAAATCTTTGCCCACCCTCAAGTTCAGAATATTTCCTATGCTTCTTCTAAAACTTGTAGAGTTTCATGTTTTATACTTAGATCTACAACCTACTTTGATTTAATCTTGAATATAAAGTACGAAAGGTTCTTTTTTTGTATATGGATAGACAATTGTTCCATCACTATTTGTTATTGTAAAGGTTATCCTTTCTCCATTGAATTTTTTTTTTTTATCCTCACCCAAGGACATTTTAGCATTTATCTTCAGATGGGGGGCGGGGGGACATTGATGTGAGAAAGATACATCGACTGGCTGCCACCCTCACGACCCCAACTGAAGCAGGGACAAACTGCAACCAAGGTACATGCCCTTAGTGGGAACCAAACCTGGGTCTCTCCGGTCTGTGGGCCGACGCTCTAACCGCTGAGCCAAACAGGCCAGAGCGCCATTGAATTTCTTTAACACTTTTGTCAAAATCAATGGCAGATGTATGCCAGTGTATTCCTGAACTCTTGCTTCTGTTCCATTGATCTGTGTGTCTATCCCTTTACCAATGCCACACTGTTCTAGTTACTGTTGCTTTATTTTCCTCTTAAATTTGAGTAATACGATTCCTCCCACTTTAGTCTTTTTCAAAACTGTTTTAGCGCCCTGGCCGGTTTGGTTCAGCGGTTAGAGCGTCGGCCTGCGGTCCTGAGAGACCCGGGTTCGGTTCCTGCTAAGGGCACGTACTTCGGTTGCGGTTTGTCCCCGGCCCTGGTCGGTTGTGCGGGTGGCAGCCGCTCGATGTGTTCCTATCATGTCGATGTTTCTCTCTCTCTCTCTGTTCCTCTCTCTCCCTCCCACTCTACCTGAACAAAAAATGGAAAAATGTCCTCGGGCGAGGATAAAAAAAAAATTAAAAAAAAAAAAAACTGTTTTAGCTATTCGAGTTCCTCTGCTCTTTGATATAAATTTTAAAGTCAGTTTATCTATATCTACAATATCTGTACTGGTACATTCCTGTTTTGTAAAAAAGGGGTAAGAAAAAGCCTGGAAAGCCATGGGTCATTGGCAAATAAAGTAGGCAGAGTCAAGAAGTAAAGGGATGGCAATAAAAATAGCACAAGGGTCAAAAACTAAGATGACAAATAACTGATCTGCTCTGAGCTCCTTCTCTGCTGTCAGAGTCCCAGCAGGGAATGAACACGCAGCTGATGTCGGCCCGTGTTTGCACCCGATGAGGAAGCACGAGGTATTAGCAGCAAACATGGATTCCCTCTCAGAACCCGTGTGACGAGCTCTCTGGAGCCTGGAACGGAGAAGCAATGGCACCACAGATTCAGCGGTGCTCAGCTCTGCGCATGAGCAATACGCAATCAGGAACTGTGTTCCCTCCAAATAATGAAAGAATGATCGTTTAATTCCCCTTATTTAGGATGATTAGGACAAAATAACCTGATATATAGATTTACCATTTACAACACATACAAAGAGCCCACTTTCAAAACCTTACCATATAATGTAAAACATTTTACTCCTATAGTAGTATTCAACTAAATACTGTTTGGTGACCCAGAAGTTATTTCCAGATCTCAAAGTATCTTGAAGATATCTTTAATACATCAACAAGATGCTGCTTCTTCGGCCTTTTGGAGTCTGAATTCTGGGTGCAAGGGAGCTCCTTGTGAGCACATACTCTTCTCACTCAAGCCTAGATTTCTTAGATTAAGTGAGCTGAACACAAATGTTGTGGGAGGCAGACATGCCCTAATTTACAGGTTTAAACAGAGATTTGCTCACCTGATTGTGAATCCACAGAGCAGGCGGGTGGTTCGTATATTTCACTGCCAATTCTATCACTCTCTCTTGTTCTAGCAGTCCAGGGCTGGAGCATATCGAGAACCCACCAACCACAGAGACTCCTGGGATAAAGAAATCGACCCTAGAAGGAAAGACAAATAAATTGTTACTGTTGAAGCAATTTTAAAAGTGGGCAGCAAGATAAACAAAACTGAGAAACTTTTAGCTAAACTAAGAAAATAAAACAAAGAAAAGATAAATTTACTAAAATCAAGAATGAAAGATGGGACATCACTGTCAACCTTACAAAAATAAAGGATTATAAAGGAATTCTATGAATAACTGTTTGACCAAAAATTAGACAACTTAGATGAAATGAACACATCCCCCAGAAAGACATAAACTACAAAATTGGACTCAAAAAGAAATAGAAAATCTGAACAGACCCATAGCAAACTAAATGAATTACTAATTTTAAAACTTCCCACAAAGCACAGGTTCACTAGTGAATTCCACCAAACATTTAAAGAATAATTGATACTAATCTTCCACAAACTCTTCAAAAAAAGAAAAGAACACTTCCCAACTCATTCAATGAGGCCAGTACTACTATTACTCTGATACCAAAATCAGAGAAAAATATCACAAGAAAAGACACTATAGATCAATATTTCTTGTGAATATAGATGCAAAAATTCCAGAAATACAAGGCTGGTTTAACATCTGAAAACCAATCAATGAAATATACCACTTAGTAGAATAAAAGACAGAACCAACATGGTCATCTCAATAGATGCAGAAAAGACACTTGAAAAAATTCAACATCCTACATAATAAAAATACTCAACAAAGTAGGTATAAATGGGAACTTACTTGACCTGATAAAGGGCATCTACAAAATATCCACAGCTAATACCATCTTTAAAGGCGAAAGGCTGAAAGTGCTCCCTTAAGAATGAAACGAGCCCTGGCCGGTTTGGCTCAGCGGTTAGAGCGTCGGCCTGCGGTCCGGAGAGACCCGGGTTCGGTTCCCGCTAAGGGCATGTGCCTTGGTTGCAGTTTGTCCCCGGCCCTGGTTGGTCGTGCGGGTGGCAGCCACTCGATGTGTTCCTTTCACATCGATGTTTCTCTCTCTCTCTCCCTTCCTCTCTCTCCCTCCCACTCTATCTGTACAAAAATATGGAAAAATATCCTCGGGTGAGGATAAAAAAAAAAAAAAAAAAGAATGAAACGAGACAGAATGTTCGCTCCCACCACTTCTACCCAACATTGGACTAGAGGTTCTAACCGAGGTATTTAGGCAGTCTCAAATATAAGGCATCCAGCTTGGAGAAAAAGAGAAAGAAGTTGCAGATGACATGATGTTGTATATAAAAAACCCTAAGGAATTTACTATGAACACAATACAACTAACAAGTGAAGTGAGGTTGCAGGATACAAGATCAATAACAAAAATCAATTGTATTTCTATACACCAGCAACAAACAATCTAAATGTGAAATTAAGAAAAATAATTCTATTTGTAATAGCATAAAAAAGAATAAAATAATTAGGAATAAATTTAACAAAAGAAACATAAGACTTATACAATGAAAACCACAAAACGTTGTTGAAAAATCAAAGATCTAAGTAAATGGAAAGACATCTCATGTTCATGTATTGAGAGTCTTTAAATGTTAAGATAGCAATACTCCCCAGAGTGATCTCCAGATTCAATGCAATACCTATCAAAACCCAGCTGGTTTCTTTGTAGAAATTGACAGGTTGATCACAAAATTAATATGAACATTCGAGGAACCCAGAATCATCAAAACTTACTATAAAGCTATAGTAATACTGGCATAAGAACAGCATATAAATTAAGGAAGAAGAATTGAGAGTCCAGAAATAAATGCTTAAGTTTACGGTAGCTGATTTTCAACATCAGTACTGACACAATTCAATGGCAAAAGAATAGTCTTTTCAACAAATGGTGCTGAGACAACTGAATATCCACATATAAAGAGTTTGACCCTGCCCTAGCCGGTCTGGCTTGGCAGTTAGAGCGTTGGCCCATGAACCAGAGAATCCCAGGTCCGGTTCCCACTAAGGGACGTACCTCGGTTGCAGTTTGTCCCCTGCCCCGGTTGGGGTCGTGTGGGTGGTGACCACTCGATGTGTGTCTCTCACGTCAATGTTTCTCCCTCTCTCTTCCTCCCTCTCTACTTGAAGATAGATGCAAAAAATGTCCTTGGGTGAGGATAAAATAAATAAATAAAAATAAAATAAAATAAAAAGTTTGACCCTACCTCACACCATAAACAAAAATTAACTCAAAATGGCTCACAGACTTAAATGTAAGAATTAAAATGATAAACTCTTAGAAGACTTACACAGGAGTAACTCTTCATGGCAATAGTTACTTAGACATCAAAACACAAAAGTCAAATAGAAAAAATAGAGAAAATAGACTGAATCAAAATTGAAAACTTTGTGCTATAAATGATCCCATCAAGAAAACTAAGAGTATGCCCTCTCTCTAGCGCACTCCCGCACCTTGCTCCACTTCTTTCCTTAGGGGTGTGTCTTCTGCCTCCTTTCTCCTAAGCCCCAAGGGCCCTTCTTTTGCCTCTGTAACTTGTTTGCTGAGTCCACGCAGCCCAGCTGGCTCACTTCTTCTACCTCTGTGACTTTCTCAATAAACTTATTGTGTTAGGGGAAAAAAAAGAAAATTAAAAGATAACTGACAGAATATAAGAAAATATTTTCAAATCAGGTATCTGATAAGGGACTTGTATACAAAATATGTAAAGAATTCTTATAACTCAGCAATAAAAAGACAACTGAAATTTAAAAATGGGCCAAGGATTTTTATAAATATTTCTCCAAAGAAGATATAAAAAATGACTAATAAAACACCTTAAGAGGTGCTTAACATCATAAGTTATCAGGGAAATTCAAATTAAAATCACAATGAACTATCACTTCATGCTCACCAGGATGGATGGCTAATCAAAAAGACAATAGCAAGTATTAGTGAGGATCTGGAGAAATTGGAACCCTTATACACTGCCATAAGACTGTGAAAAGGCATAACCACTTTGGAAAACAGTTTGGCAGTACCTGAAAATGTTACAGAGTTATCATATGACCAACAATTCCACTCCCAGGATATATCCAAGAGAAATGAAAACATACGTCTCAAAAATATGTACACAAATGTTCATAGTAGCATTACTGATAATAGCCTAAAAGTGACAACAACCTAAATGTTCATCACCTGATGAATGTATAAATAAAATGTGGCATAACCATACAATGGAATGAAGTACTGATACATGCTACAACATAAATGAACACTGAAATTATGTTAAGTGAAAGAAGCCAGTCATAGTAGAGACCACATATTGTATAATTCTACTGATGTAAAATGTCCAGAACAGGCAAATCCACAAGTACAGAAAGTAGAACAGTAGCTGTCTAAGGGAAGTCAACGATAACTGGTACATACGGGGTTTCTTTTTTGGGATGATGAGAACATTCTGAATTTGATTGTGCTCATGGTGTACAATTCTGTGAATATACTAAAAACCATTTTAAGTGGGTGAATTTTATACTTAAATAGGTGAATTTTATAATATGTAAAGAGTATCTGAATAAAAGAGATTTAAAAGGTGGAAAAAATAGCAATGAAAACTCTTTCACTGGCATCTGACAAACTAATCAGGCCGACGTGGCCTTAAGTTTCAGAAGTCTCACGTTTCTTTCTTTTCTTCTAACCACACTCCTATAGTCTAGAACTCTTGGAAGTTTTAAGCTTTCAATAATTCTGTGCCACAGAAACACTTTTTTGGTGGGGTCCTAGGAAATGCAACAAACCCAGTCTCATACCAAGGAAAGAAAAATATATTGGAACCTGGGACCACAAAACCTTCTCATCTCCATGTCTAGGAAACATAAACGTCCAATCTGGAAGTTCTCAGCCATGAAAAAGCAAAAGTATCATTTTCTCCCAGTTGTTTTCCTACCAGCATGCTTACATGAAAAGCACACAATGTTCTCTCCTGATTTGATCTACAGCCTTAAAAGATGTTCTCTTTTTATCAATGACCTTAAAGATCCGGTCATTTTTTTAGTCTTAAAAAACCTGTTCTGGACTGGACGTACTCCAGAAAAGCTCCCTAGCCTACTTCCACCTATATTTACTTGACTGTTTCCCATGAGTACCTTCATTTCCCTTTAATTTTAGACCAGGTAAAAAATTTAAAAGATGACAGCATTTATTAACACAGATGCTATATGCTTTTACAGGAAGTATATGGCATCTCCACAGCTTCCATGTTGAAAAACATAGACATCAATGAGCTACTTTTGCAGCTTCATCTCCTGAATTATAGCGCCCTCTGCTGCTTGATGCTGCTAAAGACCATTCTCAGGTGAGTGAAAGGAAATCCCTCTTCTAAACCACACTTTTAGAAAAGACTCCATTAAATGCTACAGAAGAATTCAAATGACATAAAGACCTTACCCGAATGGATTTAAGAAAATAAGCACAATACATAGTTAATAAAATACCTGTCCAAGAAAAAAATGTTTTAAACACACACACAACTTTGCACGATTAGCACACTTGGAGCCAGGAGGTGAGGCACCTACTGCACTTCCAGATGCCTGAGTATAAGAAGAACTAAGAGAAAGAGCCCAATTCTGTAGTGAACCACACACATCCATCTCCAGCTGTGACACACCAGGCAGCCCTGTCCTGCCCAGATGCAGCCCTAGTGCCCAGCACACAGCTGGCACACAAACCGCGGCCAGATGACGATGCTTAACTATGAGATCCCAGAACGCTCCGGTCCTCAGCTCCAGTCCTCGAGCCCCCCACTCATTCTAGTGCAAACGCCACAGCCGGCCCCTGACTACCTTGCACACCACTGTGGCTCATGCTGGAAGTCAAGTGTCTTGGTTCCTGCCCTCAATTAACTCATCCTGATGAGGAAAATTAACAAATAAATACAATTAAGTGGGCTATGAAAACATCTGCTTGGCAGAGAGAGAGAGAATATGCTCCTCATTTGAGATGTGTCTGGAAATACTGTACTTAGCACAGATTCTTTCTTAGCTCCAGCATGTTATCTAATAAGGCCACTGTTTTATTTTTTTTTAAATCTTTTTGGGGGGAACGGTTAGATGTGAAGTGGTGGACCTACTGGTAAGAGAACCCAAAAGGTTTAGCCCTGCTCATGTGAAAAATGGTTTTGAGGCAGTTTCCTCTTTTGGCCTCTCTCTGGGTTGAATTACTTGAGTTCTTGGAACTGGTTCCTCTGAGGGCCCAGTAAGAGCACAGTGCAACACGGAAAGAGCCCTGGAGGCCAATCTCTGGCCTACGTTGCAGGTGTCTATCTGGGATCTGTGCCCAGAGCTCCAGAGCACTGAGGTGGGTCTGGAGCCTCCTCGTCAGAGTTTGACAGCTATCAGAGGAGGTCAAGAATTCAGAGATGTGAGATCATGGCACAATCCCCCACCCAAGGACAGGCCCAAGAGCAATCATCTCCTTATCTCTCAGCAGCACTGCGCTCCGGTCCCCTACCTACACAACCGCACAGCAGCCACACCTGCACCCTCTCCCTACCGTGCCCTCTTCCCCACAGTACCACATGGAGGTTACCACCGGGCGATGATCTACAAGAGCCCAGAGCGCAAGCCATCCCAGCAACAGCACTGAGGGAGCGGACACCAACCTAAGCAAATGGCCGTTCTGCCACCATGAAGTCAAAGATCCAAAGGAACGCACAGCCCCCAGAGCCGTGCAGTGAGTCGGTGCTAAGGGAGCAAGCTTTTAAAAGAGGAGGATCCAGGTGCCAGGAATGAGTGTTGAGGAACCTGGCAGGAAAAGGGTCATCGCTGACCAGCCAGAGATGGCCACCCCATCTGTCCTCTGAAGCTGAAATCTGTCAGGCACATCCTAAATCCAGTCCTAACTTCAGTGACATGACTGAATCCATTCACTGATATGGGGTATGGAGCACCAACCCTGAATAGTTTTATCATGAGATCACAATGGGACCCTATTTCTATACGTATCACTAGAGAAGGATGACATTTTCCTCATCAGGTAACCACAGTTTGCAAGGGCTGACAGAGCATTGTAAACCAATGCACAGGCTTTTTCTAAGCAGGGGACTGGGGACTGGGGACAGTCTTGGCACAATTCAGAGTTGAAGGCAAAGAGAATGCTGTGCACGGGACACAGACACTGCCACAGAAGGGAAATATGGAAAGACAGATCATTACAATTAAAGTTTCTTTTTTCAATGTAATAACTGCTAAACTATTTTGAAAGGGCAAAAATGTTGCCCACCCCACCCCCCAAAACAGCCCAAATGCATTTAATATGTATCACTGAACATGTGCAAAGATTGCAGTAAATTGCTTCACAAACGCAAATTATTGCAATCAGCATCTTGTTTTCTAGTCTAAATTCAAAGGCAAACTATTAACACAAGACTGCTAACTCTTGCTATTATCACACTTGCTATTATCACACATCCTCCTTCTAACAAAACCACATTTCCAGATGGACTGCCAAAATTAGTCGAGTGACTCCTAAGAAATACTACCAAGACTGACATGCCAGAAATTCATCTAGAAGTGAATGCTTTATTTAAATAAAGGAAACATACACCCAAACACACCTTTCCGAAGGAAATACACGTTGCTTTATTTACAATTCAACTGGAACTGCAGCTCCGTGAGGCCGTTCGCAGGCAGAGGGGACAGACAGCTGGGCTATTACCCTGTGGGCACACTGACTGTCCTCTGAGCTCTGGGGCAGACTCGTGAGAAAGGTGTGCGCTAGGCCTGCATGGGGTCCTGATAATAAACTCAACCCAGACAGATAGCAGTGATGCAGGAATTCAGCTGAGAAGCTGGTCAGCTCCATGACATACTGGTTATTCTTCTTTTCAGACTGCTGTGTTTCCTTTGTATTTGACATGAGGAACACTAATTTTTTTTTTTGTGGTATGTGCCCCTACCGGGAACCGAACCCGGGACTCTCCGGACGCAGGCCGACGCTCAACCGCTGAGCCAAAGTGGCCAGGGCTAATTTCTGAAAACGTATCAATCCCCAGTAACACGTAACTCAAGAATAGATTACTGGAGAGTATTTTATTAGCAACCATCCTACAGAATGGAATTATCAGAGTTGTCAGGTCCACGGACAAGAACTAGCTGCTTTGTTTCAATTGGAAAAACTCAAGGCAGCAATTGTCATACATAACTAAGAGGGTCATGGGCTCAAAACTGAGGTGAACTCTGAGGCTAGGAAGGAGATCTGATTCCCCATGCCAAAGAAGGCTCACCCTGAACGGTTATGGTCTAGGATTCCCACCCCTCAGCAGAAACAGTGGGCCACAGAAGTCCTTTCCAGAAAGAAAAATAAGCCCTTCTGTCTGATGGCATCTTCTTAAGCACACACAACACTTAGGATACAGAAAAGCCACTTACCACTGGCCAGCTTTAAAAGAAAAATCTTGATCAGCAACAAGCAGGCGGAGCCTCTTCACGGTGGGTGACTCATTGGCTATTCCACACACCTTAGCTGCTGACACGACCTTGAGTCAAAAGATGAACTGTGGCTGAGGTTAGTGTGCACGCAACGCGAGGAACAAACTGTGGCTTTCTGGTAACTCAGGTTTTTTTGAAAATTTACAAAGATGTGGTTTTTAAAAATTTCAAACAAGATAAAGCACAGTTTGCTTTAGAATCCAGCCTACCACCAGGTGAACAAATTTTAACTATTTTATTTTTGAGAGACTTGCTAAAATACGAATTGAATTTTACTCTGCATACAAGAATCATCTCTCTCTTATAGGGACTACTTAACAAGCACTTATTTGTTGCGTGTCTAGAACATGCCATGCACTGGGCTGGGCACTGAGAACTGCTCAGGGAACTGGAGCCCTGTAAACCACCTGCCTGGTGTCTACATTCTCTGAGTATGACCTACCCAAAGTGAGACCCAGTGTTAGCTGGCAGCCTGTGTTTGTTCTAAACCTGCAAGTAGTCCCTGACAAGCGAATTTCAGAAATTAAAAGCAAGCACTTAGAAACTTTATTTTAGCAATTGCAGAGTAAATTATGTATCTGTTGAATCTAATAACAGCAAACAGATTGGGTTTATACTCCTGTCTTTGTTTTGTTTTAAATTTATTTTTCTAATTCATTTTTTATTATATTTGACAAAATATAAACAATTCACAACCTTAAAACAACAGCCCTTCACAACAGGTGGTTCAGAAGCACTGTTGAAATGAGGGTCTGGTCTGAGTCAGGCACTCTTCGGTTAAGTGCCACACATGCCCTACCCCCTCACAGTGCCTCTACTTCCTGTAATCTTCATGTCTCTGCCTGTGGGTTTCTCTTCCTCCCTAAACCTGGGGAATCTTCACAGCAGTGGAAAAAGCCAGCATGACTCTTTCTTCAGCATCTTGTTGCTGTGCAACTCCACTTCCAGCAGCAAATCTAATCGGTAGCAGGTGACCAAACTTAAGTCCTTCTCCTTGGATGGTATCACCTTCAGGACTCCACCAAAGGGGTCCCTGGAAATCTGTTCAAGGTCAATAAACCTCCCTAATTCTAGCTCATGCAGTCCTTTTTCTCCAACAGGACTAGGTCTCATCAAACTATCAGTAGGGGACCATTCTTAATCTCTGGAAAATACTCAAGATAGATGTTGGTGTCCCTCACCATCTCAAAATAAAACTTTCCACCTTTCTCTTGGTCCTGTAAAATCCCTTGCCCCTCTTACTCAGTACTTTGCCAATCTTCTCTTTCTCCTCTCCTTGAGGGCAAGGGGGGTGACTTTCTGCTACTGACCCTCTACATGCACTTTTAAAAAATGTTTTTATTGCCCTGGCCGGTTTGGCTCAGCGGTTAGAGCGTCAGCCTGCAGTCCTGAGAGACTTGGGTTCGGTTCCCGCTAAGGGCACGTACCTCGGTTGCAGTTTGTCCCCGGCCCTGGTTGGGTCATGTGGGTGGCAGTCACTCGATGTGTCCCTTTCACGTTGATGTTTCTCTTTCTCTCTCTGTTCCTCTCTCTCCCTCCCACTCTACCTGAACAAAAAATGGAAAAATGTCCTCGGGTGAGGATAAAAAAAAAAAAATGTTATTAATTTTTTTTATAGAGAGAGGAAAAGAGAGAGAGATAGAAACATCGATGTGAGAGAGACACACCAATTGGCTGCCTCCTGCATGCCCCCTACTGGGGATCGAGCCCACAACCTGGCATGTGCCCAGATGGGGTATTGAACCGGACCTCTCAGTCCATGGGGCGATGCTCAATCCACTGAGCCACACCAGCTGAACAACATGCACTTTTGATCCTTGTCCTGCCTACCCTTCTCTGAAAACTGCTTCATCAGCTCCCACCTGTTCCTTCCTGTTCATTTCTTCTCACTCTAGACCAGCGGTTCTCAACCTGTGGGTCGCGACCCCTTTGGGGGTGGAATGACCTTTTCACAGGGGCCGCCTAAGACCATCGGAAAACAAAATTACAGTTATGAAGTAGCAACGAAAGTAATTTTATGGTTGGGGGTCACCACAACGTGAGGAACTGTATTAAAGGGTTGTGGCATTAGGAAGGTTGAGAACCGCTGCTCTAGACCTGTTTATTCAGACATGGTATCTAATGCCATTTGCTCATCCTAAACAATTCAGCAACAAAATTAAAGGAAGCAGAAGAGTATGGCTATTAACAGCCTGGGCTCTCTATCTAGACTTCCTGCTATTTAATCCTGGCTCCACCACTTACAAGCTATGTGACTGGGCATGTTACCTAGGCCCCCTGAGCTGTAAAGTAAGAATAACAACAATAACTCATAGAGTTGTTGGGAGGATTAAATGAGATAGGATATGCAAAGCACTTTATACCGCTGCTGGTCCACAGTAAGTACGTACTTACTCATTAAATTTCAGTTTCAATGTATCTTATTGCATTCGTTACAATGACTGTATTAGTATTTATTCATTACATTACACATTACACGTTATTCATTTATTATTATTATTTTTTAATCCTCACCCAAGGACATTTTTCTATTTATCATCAGATAGAGTTGGAGGGAGGGAGAGAGATACATCAATTGGTTGCCTCCCGCAGGACCCAACCAGGGCCGGGGACGTACCCTTGACCAGAATCAAACCCGTGACTCATTGGTCCACAGGCCAACACTCTAACCACTGGGCAAAACTGTCAGGGTGTTTCATTTATTATTGTATATGCCATCACACCGGCGCTGCCACCCAGGACCTAGAGTCTGGGCACTGCACACCCCCAGGGGAACCAGTGTCATGGATGACAGTAAGGACGTGAGGTATGGTGGTCTCTGAACCTCATCCTATCAATTACTTAGCTAGAAAAGTGGAAAAGGCACACTGCCTTTAAGCTACTTGAGAAATCTTGCCTTAAATCCCTGCCTCCACTGATACTTCCTTATCCGACAGGTCTTCCCTTTCCCTTGATGCTCTGTAACCACACGTAACCTAGCTGCTGCTCCCCTACAACTCTCCCTCCAAGGCTGGATGTCTTCCTGAACAAATTCAATGTCCAGCCGCAGTTCTCACCTTCCCTAATCTCCCTGAATTTCATACTTCACTTCTTTTCCATCCTGCGGCATTCTCCTTGCCTGGGACAGATGACGGTGAACTCTTCAGGTCCCCTCCTGCCCCTCCTTTACCTCCCTCTCCCCCCTCTTGGTGGAGGCTCTCATGTATTCCCAAATCTACTAACCCCCACCCAAACTCATCATTACTTTTCTGCCAGTAACAGGCTCACAATTCCATTCCCCTGTGAGCCTCAACAGCCGATGTCCGAGAAGCATTCTCTCAGGTGTATACCAGATGCTGGATTAAATGTTTTCTGTGCATTAGTACATTCAGCTAGAATGAATAATCATATTGTATCCCAAGAGACAGTGCTATTATCCTCCTCTCTGCAGTCAAGGAAACTGAAAGATTCAGTAACTTGCTCAAGATGACTCAGGAATGGCGAGTCAGGATTCGAACCCAGGTCTACTTGGCCCTTAATCATCTGATAGTCCTATCCCAAGGATAAATTCATTCGTGTGTACAACTAAATCCACCATGTTCACTCACGAGTATTTCTTGAGCAGGGTGCGCCCGGTACTGGAGATGCAGAGTTGGAGGCTTCTCCAGCCCTCAAAGGGCCCCACAAAATCAGCTGCTTTCCATCACCACGATTTCAATTCCAGACCCATTCTGGCCTCAATAAAGTCAAATCCGTTCTCAGTTGATGTACACACACACACACACACACACACACACACACACACACACAGCCTTTGACTCTTACAGGCGTTATGTCACTAACGCGGCCAGGTTCCATGAATTCGGCTCGCGACTTCTCCTCCCTCTGTGCACCCACCACCATCCTAAGCCAAGATTCTTTCTTTTCACTTGAACTTCTGCCTTAACCTCCTCCCTGTGTCACTCAAAGCAGCCAACAGAGAAATACTCTTCATGTTCTGACCTCACCGAGTTCCTCTCCAGCTCAAAAACCTTTCAGGGCTCTCTAACACTCAACTACAAAGATTAAAAACCGCTAAAAGGCTTTTGTAACTCATCAGCTTTAGCTCCTCCTGGATCCCTGTTTCACTGGTTTACCTGCCAAACTGGAAAACTGGCTGGTCCTCAAAAGCATCTCACACTTGCTGACCTCCTCAAACCGAGGTCACTCGGCATGCAGCACGCGCTCGGTGCTGTCCATCAACCTCTCCCCCACCCTTTCAGGCCCTGCTCTGGTACTGACCCCTCACCCTCCACCTGAGACCTTCCTCTTCCCTCCATCCTCTCAGCTCTACCCACAAAATGTTTGTGCTTGTATTATCATACTTAGCACATAGTAATGTAAATATACTCATCAACTTGTCTTTTCGACCACACAGACCACAAGCCTCCTGAGATAAGGTATTGGGTAGAATTTACATCTATATCAACTTCCTAGGCCTAACACACAGTAAGATTCAGCAAATATTTGCAGAATAAATAAACACTCGCCCTGGGGGGTTTGGCTCAGCGGTCAGAGAGTCGGCCTGCGGACCAGAGAGTCCCGGGTTCGGTTCCCGCTAAGGACACGTACCTCGGTTGCAGTTTGTCTCCGGCCCTGGTTGGGGTTGTGTGGGTGGCAACTAGTCAATGTGTCTCTCTCACATCGATGTTTCTCTCTCTTCCCCCTTCTCTCCCTCCTGCTCTATCTGAAGATAAATGCAAAAATGTCCTCGGATGAGGATTAAAAACAAAAACAAAAACTCTAACTTAAAGTCACTTAAAATTGGTTTCTAGAACAAAAGTTAGTAAAAGTTCGGGAGCCTTTTGTTGCTTAAAAAAATGTTGGGTGGAGGGAAGAAACCACTACAGAAAATCTAGATTCATGTTCAAAACTGTGGGAGAGGTCAGGAAGGCAGGCTAATCCTCAGCAGAACAGGAGTCAATTCTGTTTGCCACACATTCAGTAAGAATCATCAGAGGGCTCTCCCTTACATTATTATGCTCATTTTTCTTAGGTTTACAGAAAAGAAACGTTTCTTTTGTAAACA